TCTGATAAGGTTGAACCTTCCAAACTGTGATTTCCAAAACGCCTGCGAAATTGCGAAACGTTAAGATTACAGCAACCTTTTTATGTAGATGAGGTGGGGTGGAGGAGGAGATTCTCTGCTGACTTTTGCGGGCTATTGTTGTTGATGACAATGATAATTTCAATTCTTATTTTTTTTATGGCATAAGCCAGTAAACGAGCAGACGGATCACCTGATGGTAAGCAATCGGCGTCGCCTACTGACACCTGGAACACCAGAAGCGTTACAATTGCGTTACCGGCCTTTTGGGGATTAAGAGTTTGAGTATCATTGGGGATTCAGGAATTGGGGAGATTGGGGGAGGAGATAATTGGGCCTCCGGTAACCTCACTCACACGAAACACAACGCAAGCGTTGCTTCACGTCGGTTTTCGGTGAGGCCGTGGTATCACTCCAGTCGAGTAATGTTATGTTGGCATTCGCAGGTATTCTTCGTGTTACGCAAGAAGTTCAATCAAGTATCGTTCCTGCACGTGTACCACCACTTAGGAATGTGCATGCTCGGGTTCATTGGCACCAAATATGTACCGGGTACGTTGGAAAATATTATTTTACCTTGTATCAATTGTCTTGTTGTGCTTTTATAATCTTTAAAAAGGCTTAGGAATAGGACCTACACCTGCAAAAGGTTATGAGTATTTAAGTATGTATCTTATACAACCGCTAAGAACGGGATTATTAATTCAGGATTGGGATAAATATTCACCGTTTACTAAATTGATTTAAACTTCTATGTGATTTATACGATAGTATGATACGGCGCATCTAAGAAATTCACATATCGCTGTTGATTTTTTAAATAAATACTTAGAAACAAAATACGCGAGTGAAAGTGTTAAGTAGTTGTCCAATATCCATTGTAATTAGAGAATTAGTTACGGTCATATGTCAAAAAAGTGTAGTGTCGCTAGACTGGGATTTTCATTGTTTACGGAATTTGAATATACATGTTATGTACGTGCGTAGAAATAAAGCAGTAGATAGGTATGTCCACAGAACATATAAAGAAGATCCTAGTTGTAGTTCTTTTATGGGACAAGCCTGTAAACGAGCAGGCAGATCACCTGATGGTAAGCAATCGGCGTCGCCCATGGACACCTGGAATACCAGAGGCGTTTCAAGTGCGTTACCGGCCTTTGGGGATTAGAAATTTGAGGATTGTTGGGTATTCAGGGATTGGGGAGATTGGGGAAAGGGGGGTGGAGTTACTACAGACTCTGTAGTACAGAGTACTGCTACTTATCGAAAAATTATACCTAAGATTCAATGTTCAATTCGGCCTATGAACCGGCTGATGGCACTTCGCAACTGCATAAAAAATTTACGTAACATCACGCCTTTTATCCCCGAAGGGGTAGACAGAGGTGCACATTATGCCACTGTACAATGAAACACCCACTTTTCACTGTTTATGTCATGAGTCCCATGTAATAGGGGGTGAGCCTAAAAATTGAACAGACGTAATTATTGCTATGCAATGATATGATGAGTAAAAGGAGTAGTAAACTAGTTACCTACATAAACAACATTCGATCTTCAAAAATTACACATTAACGCACACAAGTATCCTACGTTGACAGCGCAACGCAACACTGAGGTAAAAATGGCCAATTTTGCACATTATAACATGCCACTTTCTGATCGCTTGTAACCTGTCTACATCTTTTTACTTATAATATCATTGGTGCTGTGTGATATCGAAATGCTGGCAAGTTTCCGCATAATATGCCTATCCAATCCGCAAATCCCCAATGCTCAAAAAGCCGCAACACACGTCTTGTAACCCGCAACACCACAGGAGCCGCAACTTCGCAAGCCCGCAACTAGCCGCCCGCAGTAGGTACTGTCTAAGTTGGCCTTTGGTAATTTTCCAGTGTATTGCGACTAGTTACAGACGTGTCTACATTTGTTACCTATATGTATAATGAATGATGTTTGTCGTAAATATTCCTTGACGTAATTAATTATAGGTATGTAGTTGTACATAAGTAAATTACCTAATTATGACGGTCAATTCGAATTTCCAAAACAGTTATTTAACATACCTAACTGTTTTGACTTCTTCGATTGAAATGAATTGCACTTTTTTGACGAATTTGTTACATGTACAAATTAGTTCACATAACATCACGCCTTTTATCCCCGAAGGGTTAGGCAGAGGTGCACTTATGCCACTGTACCATGTAACACCCACTTTTCATTATTTATGTTATAAGTCCCATGTAATAGGGGGTGAGCCTATTGCCATATACCGGGCACAATTCCAGACTCCGTGCTACTACTACTTAAGATTTTTAAAACTCAGTAATACTTTGCCCGACCCGGGAATCGAACCCGAGACCCCTTGCGCGGCAGTCGCACTTGCGACCACTCGACCAATTAGGCAGTCATTAAATTAGGTCATTCATTAATAATTTTGGTATTAACATTTAGGCATAATACAGGTAATTATGTATCTTAACAACGGATGGTATTGAAAAGTAATCACACTAATATTAGAAATGTGAAAGTTTCGTTGTTTGGACGTTTGGATGTTTGTTCCTCAAACACTCTGAAACTACTGAACGGATTTTGATGAAATTTGGTATACAAGTAGTGTAAGGGGCTAGGTTAGGTGATAAGATACATTTTATCCCGATTAAATGCTTCCATGGGATAAAACTGGAATCATATTCTATGTGGACGAAGTCGCGGTTAACACCTAGTTAACTACATAATCATTGAAAAAATCTAAAACGGATAGGTACATACATAATTAGCTTTCCTACCAAAAGTATTCTTGGTAATAACGTAAAAAAAATAGGTTCCTACGTTAAAATATTGTAACAACGAATGTTTAAAAAATCTTCCTTCCTTGCTATGTTCCTTACCTTGCACAAAACACAGTAAAATACATACATAGTTTTAAGTAAATACTACCAACATTAGGTACTTGTACCTAAGTAATGTTGTTTTGTCTATGTGCAAGAGTAAAAATTGCAGCAATGTGAACATCCTATCGCGTGCAGCAGCATGTGCCGCGGAGGAAGCCGCTTGAACGCCTCAAGGATTTATTAGTAATCCTTACAAAATGTTAATCAATCGTTGTTATTGAAATTCTAAATCCGGTGACTGAAATAGTTTGAATTGAACATTGATTGTGTAGGAAAATAAACAACAAGCTAGCTTACTAACTGCAATACTCAGAGACATTTTACTTAAACTATTCCTTATTAACGATTCCAAATAAATGACTCTGAGTACGGCGGTAAGTCACAAATTAATTTACTAAATTGTGGTGACTTGTATTATTATTGAATTCGGCGCTCCTGCTCGAAGCCGGACCAACAACGGCGGTTTTTAGTCAGTAAAAGTCAGACACTTCCTCTTGCCTCACACAAAACGGGAGAAGTAAATTAATGCCCCCCCCCCCACCCCCTTGAAAAACGAGGATAGGTAGAGATAAATATCTACTTCTTTGACTTATACACATTTATGCTTCGACAATCTCTATTTATGTTTAGGTACTCAACTTTTTATGCATTTCATTACCCCTATATGTAACCTTTTTACCTACTGAAATATGTCAGACGTTTCTTTGCGGAATTGCATGCTACATTACCAATTTGCATGCTGCAAATTCACTCTTTCAGCGGAATAAAAACTAAATATTTCTCCCAGTTGTTAGTGTAATAATAATACAAGTACCTATCATCTGAAAAAGTGGTTATCCTATAGCGCCTCTAAAGTGAGGTGACTGTCAATTACACTACGATAATGTCACGATAGAAGTTCTCAAAACAAAATATTTGACCCACAGGAGGACATGGCATAATGCTGGGCTTCATTAACTCCATAGTGCACGCAGTTATGTACTCCTACTACTTGATCTCCATTGTACGGCCGCAGTGGGTGCGGCAATGGTGGAAGAAGTACATCACACAACTGCAGATTGTAAGTAAAAGATAATTTGATTGTCCCTAACATGCGTATAAGAGTTGTTAAGCAATAAAAGTACAGAATTTACGAAGCGAATTTATTAGTCAACTGTAGGTAGGCACTAGATATCCATTAATTGGAAACTGTTTCAACATCAACTAATTGGACTTCTGACTGGTTTATGGATTATTAAAAAAATATAGAGCTAAGTACTTAGCAATTTTTTTATATAAAACATTTTTACATTGCAGTTGCAGTTCGTTATCCTGATCTTACACTTCGGCCACGTGCTGTTCGAGCCCTCGTGCGAATACCCGAAGTGGGTCTCCTTCATGTTCCTGCCGCATAACATATTTATTTTATTTTTATTCTCCGACTTCTATATCAAAGAATATATCCTAAAGAAAAATAAAAATAAAGCTAAGTAGATTAGTATGCATAGGTAGTGAATATATTATTGTTAATAATTATTATTTTAATTATAAAGTAGTTATAACGATGCGGTGGTTTTATTTCGTTTTTTTCTATATTAATGTCAATTTTATTCATACACCACAAAGTGGATACGTACTGCCATCTACTATGGACTGCCACTTACCTATATACTTATCATACTCCCTGATGATGCTGGATTAAAGTAACAAAGTATGGATTATAAGACCGATTTATCACGCTTCTCACCATTTCGACAATATCGAGACTCAGAAACCAACGACAATACTTGGCTGTATATTACATACTATTTTTGTTCTAAGAAAACGTTTTAAATATATAAATAGTGGAAACAATAAAATAGCAAAATAAAACTAATGAAATATCAAAAGCCAAGGTTCCAGTCAGTATCCTAGGAATACCGCATTAAAACATTATGGTTCGTTTAATGACAGTAACAGTGAAACTGTTTGACAGCAAGTCATGTCATTGGAATGTTTTGTTGTTTTCCACCTGTGAAGTGTGAATTTCGCAATATAATGTGATATCGTGTTCTATTTAATTAAACGTTAATTTAGTTTGAATTCTTACTATTTTTACAATCTGACAAAATGTCAAAAGAAAGCAACATATCTAGACCAGGGGCTGCTGCATTGGAAAATATGAAACTGTTGAAACACGAGAGTTCTATATTTAAGGTTCCAAAAGTACCAAAAAAGAAGGAAATTATAAAGAAAACACAAGTTTTGGATGAAGATGTATACGTAGAGGTTAGTAAACTATAGGAAAATTAGATAAAATCTGTGTAATGATTATAATTAACTAATATACACAAACACTACGATAATGGACTTCGTCGTTTTAATTATTGTCATTGACACACAATTTACTAGTGGTCACGACTGTATAAAGGCTGTTGTACATAAAGTACATTAAAGACTTGAGAAATACTGACGAAAACTTTTAGTTAAATAGACCTTGGTAACCTAAGGTAAGGTAAAACTAATTATTAGTGACATAAAAAGCTATTAGCATTCTACTTATAGAGTTGGCACTATTGTACACAAACTAAATATACTAGAATTCTTTTCCATTAAAAAATTGTAGGTATGCTAACTTAACCGCTTGAATGCACCATTATGAGACACAATACAAAATACATTGTGTCTTGCGTGTATCCTTTTTAGACAGACAACAGGTTAATGACCGAATCCCAAACAAATATAATTATTGAACAGTTATGTTGAATTGTTTGATAGGTAATTATGGTTATAACATCTTAACATAAATACCAAAAGTAATTTACTCAGTGTGTAACTAATACAAGAATTTCACAAAAGTTTGTTTATGTTTCAGGGTATTGCTAAAATTATACAAAGAGACTTTTTTCCCGATTTAGAGAAACTTAAGGCACAGAATGAATTTTTAGAAGCAACAGAAAACAAAGATTATGCACGTCTCAGAGAACTAACTAGAAAGTATAGCGGCCAGAGACCACCCACAGAACCTTGTGAGTATTCCATTTATTATGTTACTGATAGACATAAACTTGAGTTGAATTAAATTACATTAGACAGTAATTTTAAATTAGAGCCATAATACAGGCATTCAAGCTAGTACTAACAAATTCAACATTCTATAATACTTTGCTCCATCTGATTATTAAATCTCATACATTTACTTTGTCAAGTGCTGCACTTGCTATCACTTCTCCATTCTATGAATCAAATAAGACATCATGTTTCTAACACAGTTAAAAAAGTTTTAAACTTTTTTCTGCTGTTAACCTATTATTACTTATTCCTTATATTTACTCTTTTATTTTTCTTTTACAGATAACTCCCCAGCTACATTTGACACTCCGCATTTGGACCGGCCATTCTCACCGGCCGCTCCAACAAGGGACCAACCAGACTCGGACACAGAATCTGTCTCTAGTAATAAACCAAAAGATATTACAGACAAACATTCTTTAGGTATGAAAATATTATTTTTCTTATAATTGTTGCCTTCATTATGATATGAGTTTCATAAAATAAAGTCACTCTATTGCCTATATTGGCGTTTACTGGGTCCCATGTTAGACTGTGTGTCACTCTACTCAGTAGAGTATATACAAATATACTGAGTAGAGTCTACTTAGTCACTGCGAGGACCGCCCTGAGGACACGGTGGAACACACTGGCGGAATGCCCTGCGTGGGCTGAGCACCGCCGTGCCCTCAGGGAAGTGATCGGCGATGGCGACCTCTCGCGTCCGGGCCTAGTGCAGGTCATGATGCGGAGCGAGGAGGACTGGGATGCCGTCTCCTGCTTTTGCGAAGCAGTTATGCTCGCTACCCAGCCATCGTGACGGACACACCGGGCGTTGGGGATCGCGGGACGATCTCCGGCCGCCGTAAGTGCGGGCCTGCGGACAGCGAACGTGGGTAGCTCCCCGTCCGACCAGAAACCGACCCGAGCGTACGGCGCGTCGCGTTCCGCGCGCGCCTCAAAGATCAGACCACCCTAGATGGGGCCCAACAGGGCCAATGCCGATTCGGAGTCGCGGAGAACCTAACGGGTTACCGGGGCTCCGGCTCGAGAAGGAACATGGTGGTTTTTAGTCAGTAAAAGTCTGACACTCCCTCCCGCCTCACCCAGGCGGTAGCAGACATTCGATGATTTTCCCCCCTTAAAAAAAAGGTCTACTTAGTCTATATTTAGTTATTTTCGTAAAACACATTGTTGTTTTTTATTAGAGTCTGATTAAGTATTGACTTTGCCTCACCCCAGAATCGAACTACACACTTGCGCAGCAGCCACAGGATTGAGTTATCAAAACTAATAAAATTTTTACACTATCAGTAGCTGATTTAAGATTTTTATTAAAATCTAGTAATCTCTAATCAATATTACATTTACACAAACAATGCTGAGATTAATCATTGCTTCGATTACTGGTTACGCAAGAATTACGCCACATTTTATAATATTTCATAATGTTATTTTTTTGGTACACCTGTTGATGTGTCGTGATGGACTCAGAAATTACTAAACAGAATTAGATATGGATATAATTATGTATTTTTATACAATTTTAACTAGTGGACAGAGTAATTTTTTAGAGGGATAGCTAAAAAGCTTAGTAAATAAGGTTTTAGTATATTTAACTATTTAAGTAACACCAGTGAATCTGCAGAAATCCTTACTAATATTATAAATCTGAAAGTGAGTTTGTTTGTTTGTTTGTTTGTTCCACCTTCACGCCGTAACTACTAAACCGATTGCTTTGAAATTTTGCAGACGTAAACTTAGAAGTCCAGATTAAATAATAGGGTACTTTTTATCCCGGAAAAATGTGATATTCCCGAGGGAAAACAAAAATATTAGTATAGATGGCGCTGTGTGTATTCCTGTAGATGGCGCTTTGTGCCATCTAAAACAATTCAACGAATTACCTACTAATTGGAAATTTCACGCTTTAATCTATAGCGCTTATTTGGTGTTAATCTACAATTATTCAGTGCGCTTTTCGACTCATTTATTTGCTATTTTTTATGTAAAAATACTTAAAAAACACAACGTGGTAACGTTGTGTAGTAGTTACGCTACTTCGCGATAGATGGCGCTGAGTGTTTATAAAAAGGGGTAGCGTAGTGCTTTTAAAGTACTTTTATCGCTTTTAAATTTTGGTTCCTACCATTTTACATTGAATTGTGTATTTTATAGATTTTAGGTTGTTAAAGGTACATGAAATTGGTGTCTATGTAGTAGTTACGCTATTTTTTAAGTATTTTTCGCTTTTAAATTTTGGTTCTAACCATTTTACATTAAATTGCGTATTTTATAGATTTTAGGTTGTTAAAGGTACACAAAATTGGTGACTATGTAGTAGTTACGCTACTTGGCGATAGATGGCGCTGAGTGTTTATTATTATATATTCAACGGGGTAACGTTGTTAAGTATTTTCATCGGTTTTAAATTTTGATTCCTACCATTTTACATTGAATTGGGTATTTTATAAATTTTATGTTGTTAAAGGTACACGAAATTGGTGTCTATGTGGTAGTTACGCTACTTGGCGATAGATGGCGCTGAGTGTTTATAAAATGGAATAGCGTTGTGTTTTTTTAAGTATTCTTCGCTTTTAAATTTTGGTTCCAACCATTTTACATTAAGTTGCGTATTTTATAGATTTTAGATTGTTAAAGGTACACGAAACCATAGTGGCAACAATACTCAACAATTAGCAAATATATTGTACGCTGTTGTTTCAACGCTCGATAGATGGCGTTAGAATCGAGTTAGATGGCGCTATGGTTTCGTTACCGGCGAAAGTATAGGTTCCGAGCTTCCGTATCAACTATATTTTAGGGTACGCATCTAGCGCTTATATTGATTATTATTATTATTTGTTCGATTTGTAGGTTTGATTAGTCAAGTGTTATTTTTTCTAGGTAGATATTTAAAGTACTATAGTAATTTTTTTCGTCGTTCTAAGACGCTTTGTTCATTGTTTACGTTGATTGATACAGTAGCTATATTAGTTAGGTTAGATTAGTGAAGTGGTTTATTTCTAAGTAGATGTCTAAAGTAGTTAGGTTTTCGATAATAAAACATATAATATAGTTTACCACTCAGTTTTGGTTTAGCATTGCAAATATAACCCTTATAGGAAATAGAAGTCTTTTAAATTAAAATGGGAGGAGGTATTTGTGGTAATGCGAAAATAACTTCTGTTCTTTCACGCGGCTGAATCGATTTTGGTATAAAGGTAGTTTGAGTCCTGGAAAAGCAAGGCTTTACCGCGGCAGAACTTCTCATTCCCACGGAAAAATCTAAAACGCGCGTTATAACCGAATTCCACGCAAGCGAACAGCTGTTTGTTTGTTTGCCTGTCTTAAACGGCAAAACGGAGGTACTTAACGTGATTTTTCAAGGTTTCTTCTTTTTTTGGAGGATTTTTCTTGAAGGTAGTTGAAGGGATGGGTAGTCACATAGGCTACGTTTTATCGTTTTGTGACGCGAGCGAAGCCGCGGGTAAAAGCTAGTATATTATAATTGTAAGATCAGTTGATATTTTTCCTCCCCATACTAATCTGTTTTGTTTATTCTATGTAGGTTTTCTTTGACAAACTGTAATTTTCACATTTTTGTCAGTCTTTTAGTATAAATACTTAATTATTTGTACAATTTCCTTACAGATTCATATTTAGCATCACACACAAGTGAAGACAACGCGAGCTATGACCGCGTCATCTCGTTGGAGAACAAGAAACGCGCCACGAAGCTGGCAACACAGTTACAAGCAGAGGTGACGTCATTAGCTCTCGCGGACGCGGCGCTCGCACTGCCATCTATCGAACAACAAGCAGACCAGACTGAGAGGCCACATGAGGTATGTATTACGGGCTAATTTACCTTAAGGGTGGGAGTTGGACAACCAATTTTCATGCAAGTCATAATTTAGCCAAATAAACATGTGTATAAGGGGGTCCTTTCAGAGGGTTAATTCTAAAATTATTCCCAGAAACCCTATAGAATCCGTAAAAAGTGCTATCGTACACTGATTCTCATTATTGCGAAGTCTAGTCAAGGTACTGTGGATCTCAAAACCTTCATCCTTAACAACTACACTCATAGATCCTTAAAAAAGCTCAAATCCCTTTTAAATATTTAGGTACATCTTTTATAACCGCTATCGTAAACTACAGGGTGCTCAATTTCATTACACCAATTTTTTACAGCTAGACACATGGCGCTACAAAGCTAAGAACTACATAATGTACGTCCCGGACGGGGCGGAGTCCCAGCGGCCGCCACCGAAGCCCGAGTTGGTACACCAGAACACACGTCTGAAGGCCGAACCCTTTGACCATGTGAAGAACAAAGAAGCCATCAGCGCTATTGCTAGGAGTCAGGTACGATAGAACAATATTCTCGTTGAAAGGAAAACTGTTTATTTTTTCACGTTTGCACTTCACCCTCTGATAAGTTTTGAACACAAGATTTTTCCTCTCGTTTCTTTACAGTTTAAGCTAGGAACTCTTTGTTTTAGAGGATATTACGACTTTTGCTAGCTATACGGCACTTAATGTCACCGTAGTAGGTACAATGTAACACCCTCTTTTCACTATTTATGTTATGAGTGCAATGTGGTGGTGAGCCTATTGTCATATACCGGACACAATTTCAGACTCCGTGCTACTACTGAGATTTTTTTTAAAACCCAGTAATGTTTTGCCCGTCCCGGGAATCGACCCCTTGCGCCGGGGAAGTCGCACTTGCGACCACTCAGCCAACGAGGCAGTCATCTCATTCATTCATGTTATTTCTGATTGCTGATGTTCCCAGGACGCAAGTGTAACAGGAAAGATAGGCGTGGACGGCGTCAGCATATCGACGGAGAAATCGGGCGGGGCATACTCGTTAGTGGCCACACCGTCGCCGCGGCCAGGGGAGGGACCAGACCAGTCGCCCATTATGACCTGGGGAGAGATCGAAGGCACTCCATTCAGGCTCGATGGTGGAGACACGCCCTTACCAGCGTGAGTATTATGAGCTAAGAGTTAATATATGTGGAATATGTATATTCTGTTGTTAATCGGTTTCAGCAGTATTGAATACTGCTTTGAAGTCGCTTTTATGATCATTCATTCTACAATTAGACTTCGTAAGTTTAAGTGTTGTAGTATTAATTTTATTTATTTATTTTCAGCCATGATCGTCCCACTGCAGGACAAAGGTCTCCCTACCCTCCTTCCAGTCCTCTCTATGTAAAGCTTTTTGCGGCCAATCCTTGTCATAGATGTCTAATTCGTCCCGCCATCTCCTTTTGGGCCTGCCGCGACGTCTACTGATGTTGAATGGGCTCCACTCAGTATTAATTTATAATCTTAATTTTTTTGTTATTAGTGTGGGTGCTGGTGCAGCGTACCGAATGTTAGAGGGCGGCGTGCGCGAGCGCATCGCGCTGCAACTGGCTGAGCAGGCGGCCAAGAGACGTCGGCCCACCACGCCGCGCATCGCACCGCCTACGCCAAGGTAACCAAGTAATATGTACAATAAATCTCATACAAATCATATATACACCACAACACCCTGGCATATTGTCAGGGTTACTCACAAACTAAGAACAGAATTGCAATTTGCATATACTTACTTATTTTATCAATTCTCTTTTCAGTTTTCGATCGAATACAGAACGCCTTGCAAGCATGTCGCCGGCCGCAAGGAAATTAGCAGCAAAACATTTACTGTCTCCTCGACTGAAATTAACTCCTAACGACATGGGTATATTATCTCATGCTACTCCGAAACGGACCCCGACCCCACAGAGACCCCTAGTAGCCACACCCATCGGGAAGAAGACCCCACGACCGTCTCGTGAAGGCAGCGTCAACAATAACATGACCACAGAAGATAACAATCTCACAGATAATCTATTACAGATCAATGTTGCCAAGCGCACGAGGCTAAAAGCTCAAGATTTTTTCAAATAAATTATTATAAGGTTGTTAATGTCTTTTTTATTATCCTCACCCTGAATAGTGTCGCGTTTTGTGTACTTATGAAAAATAAAGAAGATTTTTTCTTATATTTAATTTAAGTTTAGAAAAAAAATATTTTAACAAAAAACATATTTCAAATAGTGCAAAAATATACGATTTTAATTTCGAAGTAAAAGGAGTTGCAGCTGATGCAACACTTCTTAGAAAACTAGCTATTCTCGGTTATAACATACAATAGGGCGTTGGTCAGACACCATGACTACCGTGTGATATATGGGTTTTGCTCTTGCACGTATATATATAATACATACGTTTACCGATATAAAGTTCAGAAGATGAAATCGTGACATCACTACATAGTATAAAACAAAGTCGCTATCCGCCGTCTGTCTGTCCCTATGTATGCTGCTTAGATCTTTAAAACTACGCAACGGATATTGATGCGGTATTTTTAAATAGATAGAGTGTTTCTTAGAAGAAGGTTTATATGTATAATACATGCATATTGCACATAGGTACTAAGGCCCCGGCACGGAGTAGGAGTCCGAAAGAGGCGGAGTTTAATTAGTAACAGTCTGGCACTCCCTCCCACTTTCCCTAGGACGAAAAGACTCATTTGAACATATTCCAACAAAAAAAAACTGCAACGTATCATTATTTTGCTTTTACTAGCACCTTTAGAAAGCAATAAATGTACCAAATGATGAACCTTCAAACTGGTACCTATAACTTATTTATCTTGGATACTACAATTTTTACGCTATTGCTCCTCTGGCTTGTTCCAACGATACGTACCATTTTTTTAACCTGCCTTGGTATATTTTCACAGAATTGCCCACTTGTTATACTTTATACACTTGTACTATGTTATGAAGTCCTAGCTAGCCTATTTAAACTTTACGGGTGTATTTTTATTTTAAGTGGATCATTACATTTTTTATTTGACTGCCTCGCTGGCCGAGTGGTCGCTAGTGCGACTGCCGGGCAGCGAGGGTCTCGGGTTTGATTCCCGGATCGGGTAAAGTACTGCTGGGTTTAAAAAAAAATCTCAGTGGTAGCACGGAGTCTGGAATTGTGCCCGATATATGGCAATAGGCTCACCCCCTATTACATGGGACTCATAACATAAATAGTGAAAAGTGGGTGTTACATTGTACAGTGGCATTAAATGCCGTAACGTACACCTCTGCCTACCCCTTCGGGGATAAAAGGCGTGATGTTATGTTATGTTACATTTTACTTTTTAGCAATATTTGATAATATTTGTATTTAAGAATCGTAGCAATTGCCTTTCCTTACTCTGCCTATCCTCATTATCCCCATGGAGAGAGGCGTGAGGTTGTGTAGGTAGGTATGTATGTATTATTTTTTTATCAACAATTTCGGTTCATACTTACTACTTCAGTGGGTGGGCGGGTCGTGTCGACTAATAAAGGTTTAAAAAAAAGAAAACACAAATGTACATGATATGTCATTTATTAGGCCCTGCTTTGAGTAATTACAAAATATAATTTATCTATTACAAGTACACACAAATTTTTATCTAAAAACATTATTTTTATTGTGCATTTCTAAGATATGACAGAGTTTATTGCATTGTAAAACTTTATCGACAGTAAGATTGCATTATTTAATGCACTACATTCGTGTAATATAATTTTTAAATGTCAAACGTAGGTACATTACAAATTGACACCATAATCACTTTATTATCCTCCAAAATGGTAGGAGTATAATTTCCATTTATTTGTGCTGTTACCTACTAAAGATTTCGTATAACGAAGCACTCAATCACACTTCACTCGACCTGGGGGTCATGTCGAGTATTTACGCTTTGACCACACGAATTAAAAGATTGTCTATACAAATTGTATTCGACAGTAAATTCTATATCAAATAAATCCAATAAAAATTATATGTATAAGATATTTAAAAAATTTATACAATTACGAACATTGTTTTATTATGTAAATGAGTATCTACAATATTGATTAAGTTTTTAATTTTCTCATTATTGTCGTAGGATTTGAACAATTTTCCAAACTACAATTTAGGTAGGTATGTAGTTATTATTAACCAATTTATTTTTGGTTCCAAATATGGAATTCGTCATTTAAAGTACCTAAGTAATACTTGCATTGAAATATTAAATGATTTATATAAATAAGATAATATCAATGTTACATATATTTCATAAAACCAATCTCATAATTTAGCCATAAAATTAATAACTAATTTAAATTAAATGCAAAAAAAATCAATTTATCATTTTTATCTATCAGATTTGTCTAGACATAATCCGATAACAAATCATATTTATATGTTTTGTTAAAACTTATACACAAGGTAAGCCGTAATTTTGTTAAATATTGTCACTTTTTTCTGGATATTATGCATTACATTTTATATTATGTAATATGTAAAAATAACATATTCTTGTAATATAATAATACAACTGCTTTATCTCAGCTTAATCCCCATCACCGTCATACCAGTCAATTTAATAAATAATTAAAAAATACTAATACAAAGAGTACAAACATATTTGTTCGCACACCGCGTCATGACGTTTTTCTAGATATCATTTAACCATCGAAACGGCTCGTGTAACTTATCATTATAAGTATTTATCGATTTAATCACTTATTTGCTTAGTCAAAAAGTAGATAATCGTGTACTACCAAATTAAGCTGAGAGCCGCACTATACCACGTCTCAGGTTTACGATTCTTGAAATATTCCGCGTTACTCACGGGCTTAGTCTCGTCTGTAGGGTCCTCTTCGAAAATATTTACTAGAGATTTTTTAATACCGAACTTGAAGAAAGCCAAGTATGGGAAGTATCTCATTAGGAAAACGCTGAACCAGAAATTGAGGTTGATGTAAAGTCTGCCTAAATATGAGGTGTATAAGGTCGAGTACTGGTTGAACATGAACATCTTGTATTTGGCCTTGAAAGTGAGGTGCTTGTAGTAAGGCGTAGTCTCGATGGTGTTGAAGTCCTTGTAGTAGAGCAGGCGCGGCGGGGTCTTAGGCAGACCGTCTATGGCCGGCTTGCACATGAATTCCGTAGAATCCACCCCTGCGGAACAAAATAACAGCACTTAATGAATATGTCTTACCCATTCTACGATATCTAGTTACGTGCACCTGTTATTTCCCAAGTTATTTTGCAATTAAATACGTACTTAGAGGTACCTACCTGTTTTATATTATTCTATACCACTGGCAACGTCTATGTAGAAACGTTCATGAGGGTCAATAAATTCATGATAAATACCCCCCCCCCCCCTTCTTATACAAAAATTACTCAAACACTATGGAATAATTTAAACGTCCTGAGACTATAACCAATCACGTCAAATATAACATCATAGAGAAGTAACATACCAGTGTCAAGAGGTTTCCCTTTCAGTTTTTCCTTAAGTTTCATCTGGAAGTTCATCCTTTCAGATTCAGTGTAGATGTAGCCGGGGACATCAGCCAGTACCCTGCACCAGTACAGCACAGCGTCGGTCTCGATGGTCGGGTTGATGTTCCACAGGCCCTCCAACATAACACGAGCTGTGTGCTCGAAGTATTCGGGAACATTCTCTAGACACGGCGTGTATACTCGTTCTTTGAGAAGCTGGCACACTTCAAGGGTTTCTTCGAATGTATCGCGGGCGATGTTGTACCTGAGAATTTAAGAATGTATCTTTAGTCAGTTCAATGTATTTTTAGGGCATCCCTGGTTGACAGGTCAACCAGGTCAGTACACTGGTCAGTGGTCGGTACTGACACACATAAAAATAAAACTTTATTAAAAAGTTCAAATCAGAATATGTTGCTAATTTCTAAGCATGAAATTCGAGAACGAAATCGGCTGATCAGAAGAAAGAAAGAAAAGCCAGGACAATAAAACATAGGTACCAGAACAAAAAAGAAGTATAAAGTGCGTCGCAGCGCAGCACAAAAGAAAAAGTGCTCAGATTAATGCGGTGACCCTGGCACGAAAGCTTGCGTGAAGCATTCTTCCAAAATACGAAATAAAAAATGTTTTGCAACTTCACAGCTGTAGGATTAGCTATTGAACCCACCTGTCTTCAATTCCGATCATGTACCCAATGACTCTCCAGGTGTAGTTGTAGGCTTCCCAGTCGTCTTCATGAAGCTGTCTGATGCCAAACTTATCTGGCTTCAGCATGGAAAACCCGATGAAACCAAACTGTGTGAGAGCCAGGTCTCTTTGAGACACCACTCCCATACCTTTGACCTTTGAAGCAAGTCCCGCTCTTAAATGTCTGCTCCTCACTGTGTATAGCGATTTCCATGATCTGTAAAATATTTCAAACTTTATTATTTAAAAAATATATATATTTCTATTTATTTATTTGTATCAGGCAACGGCCCTTATTAAAATACAAATATAGCCAAAGGACTACATGGTACCAACCTCTTTCTATGTTGAGGTCTATTATCTATATCTATACTATTATCTAAGGAAGGACGTATGCAACATATCCTTTTATCTGTTGAAACACCGGCTTCCGGTATAAAACACATAATGCCCGCAACTTTCAACAGACAAGAGGATAAGCTTTAAAAAAGGTGATTCACAAGTTTTACTAAACTTAACTCTTTGAGTACCGTCATTATAGACACAATTCAAGAACAATAGGTTGCTGTCACCGGTGACCGCTCGGTGTTTGACAGTTTAATTAGCAAGTCCCATTGATTCACTTAATGTTGTTGACACTCATTTTGCGACGGTTGGTGGAGTCTTAGCTAATAACATTATGTCGAAATTAAACAAAAACAAAACAGGCTAAACTCAACAGCACTCTCCTACACTCCATTGCCTTCCTGCCTATTGATCCTGTATCAATCATTTTGCGCGGGATGCGATCTCACAGTGCCCCGGGTCGGGATGGAATTACCCATGACATCTTAAAACAAAATATAACATCTCTTGTGCATCCGTTAATCTATCTCTGTAATTTGAGTCTAGAAAGTGAAATCTTCCCAAATATCTTTAAAAGTGCTGTAGTGTGTCCCGTAAACAAGTCTGGTGATAAGACTAATCCTACAAACTATAGACCTATATCACTATTAACTACTCTATCAAAAGTCCTTGAAAAAATTGTAAACAAAAGACTTGTCACGTATTTGGAAAAAAAAGCTGATAAACTCTACCCAGTCTGGATTCAGGGCTGGCAGGTCCACTGAAGATGGCGATCTGAAGTGGACAACAGTAGTGATGACTTACATGTCTAAGGGTGAGAGGTGCATTGGCGTCTTTTTGGACCTTCAAAAAGCATTTGATACGGTCTCCCATTTAATTTTACTGTCTTGGCTAGAAAACCTGGGTGTAAGAGGTACAGTTCTAGGCCCGGTTAAAAAACTACTTGTCCAACAGGACCCAGAGGGCGGGGGTGGGAGATGTTCTAAGTGACCAGCTGGCCTGTACTTTAGGGGTTCCGCAGGGCAGCACACTAGGACCTACATTATTCTTAATTCAAAAAGTTGGATTGCGCTCATCAGCCTATTTTATTGAGTTCTAATGAGAAGACTGTTACGAAGGTACGAAAAATAATAATAATAGCTTAATAATTAGCCATCTATGAATATAGAGAGTAGATGTTTAATTATCTTATCCTAATGCTAGCAAAATTGTTTCACCTATGACACTATATCAGCAATAGTGTTGTTTGATGGGTGAACAACCTACATTTGAGACCTTACAAAGACAAAATGTGTCATATTTTATTTATAAATAAACGCTACGTTGATTTCATATTATTCGTTTGTGCAAAAAAAAATATATTCACTGGAGTTATCTTGTAAAATTTCAACCTACATAAACTAAATGATAATTATCAAAAATATCTATCAAAAGCATTTAGAGACGATAACGAATTATCAGAATTGCAATTAAGTAAACAGAAAAACTTGCACATTTTCCGTTGTAATTAACATAATTGTATAATTATAATCTTCACCTAGTTACTTGTTATTTACATAAATATTATCAATTGGTGCTAGGCATATTATATATATCTTTATACATAAGTCCTACCAAAATATGTAACAATCCGCTTTACGTAAACGGCATACTAATTTATAATCTATTGATAAAAGATTATGATATAATTTTAATTCTCAATATCCAACAAATATGATAAAGAGAAACAAATTAAACTCATTCTTCAGACATTCCATTGATTTTTCTTTAATAGTCTCTCTTGATAGGGGTTCATGTTTTCCAACCGCTTAACTACACTTTTTTATCAACACGCTGATATCGATCAATCGATCGGTTTGTCTTGTCTCTTGTAAATTTAAGTTTATTTAATGTTTTAAAAATATTTTGCCTTTTAACCCGTCGAGCGTCCGCGTTCCTTATGCATTTCCTTATCCTTATGCATGCAAGAAAATGCATTTATTTAGCCATTGGTACACGGAAACAAGGATCATTACAATAGAAATAAAACAAATACAGTCAAAATAAAAACAAAACATTAATAATAGATTTTATAAAAGAGAAAGCAGCATGGAGCATTTTTTCTTATGATCCACCGGGTGCTCATAAGGACGCTCGAGGGGTTAAAGGCATCAAACCTTGTGCTCTTTCGCTTATAACTCAACAAATATTCTTTTCATGAACTCAAAACCTTTGAAGTTAAGTTTCAGGAGAAAATCTCTACGTAGGTACTAGTTTTCAAGTCACACGTTAGAGTGACTAAAGATTTCTTGTGTTAAGTTATAAGTCCCGATGTGACTTGAAACGAATTGAGCCGTATTTTTCAATTAGTATCATACCACGTCTTGCTACAATTATTACCTGCACAAAGAAAATAGTAATAAAACAGCATACTCACAGGCTTCCTGGTTTCAGTTCGTTCTCGAACCAGGATATGGTGTGTAGTAGTGTTGAGAGGTATCGCCTGTATGCTGTGTACACGGAGTTGGATCGTCGCGTCCCCACCAGTATGCGCAAAATGGATGGTATCGCGAACACGGCAGCCAATCCCAACAACATTGATGATGACATCGCGAAGCAGTTGTCCAGGTAGAATTTACGACCCCTGTAGAGAAGAAATGTAGGATTAGATTGTCGAATAAAAAAAAGTTCAGAAAATTAGATTTAAGGCTTTGACTGCCAATAAAAAACTGTTGAAGGCAAATCCTCCGCTAACGTCGCGTCGGTCACCGGTGACCCCATGGCGTTTAATGTGTTAAGATTATAAAGGAAAATATCAAGGTATTTTTTCTTAATATCAAAACTGGACTTTTGAAATGAGTTCTTCTACCCAAGTAAGGACAAAAACAATTTGTAGAACAAATACTGCCTACACAAATTTTGGTAAAGTGATACTAAGTGATATTAATCTTCACATATTCCAACTGGATTTTTTTCCCGTGGGCCTGTGGCAGGATATGAAATAACGGCATCGAGACACAGCGTGTTACATAAATAGGATAAAAAAATTAAAAACAAACAAATTAAAAGAAGTAACAATATTGATTAGTAAAATAAACCAATACAATATTGATAAATAAAATAAATCAATACAATACGATATTGATAAATAAAATAAATCTTTATAATACAATTAAGATAAATAAACAATAAATACATATATTTATTCATATTATAAATAAACAAGTCTATATTTTAAGATGAATATTCTATCACCGTGAACTTTTCCGTATTAAACTGGACCTTACAAACGAGTCTTCCTGAGCTTTGATAGATCATTTAATAAATAGTACAAACAGCAAACACTAATTAAATCTGTAATCTTTGGACATGATTATTATTGCAAGCTAACTATGAATACGAGTAAAATAATTTACGTTTGTTGGACCAAGGACGATTTCGCACAATCTGGTACGTATAAAAATCCTGCATGTGGTTAGCATAAATTGCTTTAGCACTTAGGTAGGTAGGTATGTATTACAGTCTGGGCGAGAGACACAAGTACCAACACCAGACTGCACAGATATTTTTCAATTAAGACCCATTGGCCCTCAATTGAATCCTCTTTGGCATTCACAAACACAACAAAAGTTACTTGACCGACCAATGCATATTTGTTTATTTAACAATGTCATCGTATAACAATTCTTCTGTTAGTTCTCATGCATACGTAGGCACGCAATGGCAGTTTTAATTACAAGCAAATAAGTGAACTTATTATCTTGATAAGTACTGGTAAATCTTATAATAATTTGTAAATGAAATATTTCATAAATATCCAGTTGTTCTCTATTCTGTGACTATTTAGACAGTAGATAAAGATAATGACGGCTAGTAACATAACTCAGTTTAAATTATAACGCTCTGTTATAAACCGTAAAAGTGGGTACCTAATACCTAACTTTTTTCTTTGATGACGGGCGGAAACCTTCAAACGGCGCCCAGCTTTGTCGGGAGAAAGACTGCGGAGTGTGAGATTATTACATCACTAAAACGGAACACCAACCCCGGTAGCCACCCTGGTACGGGACCTGAACCAGAGGCACCAGGTACTCTAATAACCTAATGATGCTCCGAATCCCCATGGTGCAATGCCTGTTACGGCAAATCCCTATGGATCTAGTTCCTACCTACAAACTCTATTTACTACTACAATATATCCAAATATAAAATATTTTAAAAAATCATATTATTGTATATACTTTTCCTTTATAAATCAAGTCAAAGGTAGAGAGTGTGTGTCTGCACAATCTTAGTAAGGAGAAGCTGATTCATATATTGCGTAAGTAATCCTTTAGTAAAACGTGCAAGTAAGGTATGGTCCCCCGTATTGCCAAGTATCCTACATAATTCAGTTTGGCTGGCTTCGCAAAGGATGACTATTGAACGAGAATTGAAATATAAGCATGACTTGCATAAAAACTATTTTCCTGTTGGATAAGACAAGTTTAACCATAATTTTGAAATTTTGTCGCGATTTAACTTGGTATGTACTTGATACTTGGTAGAAGGAATGTTTTGTAAAAATTGAAGCTCATACGCCTCTGTGGATAAATCTGCTATACGACCGCAAAAGAGTGTAAAGTTACCTAAAACGAAATCTAACTATTGATCTTTCTAAGATCATCTTTGAATATTCAAAGAGATAGATTATCTTGCTTATATCCAAGAGTATAAAACTACACATTTTCGATGATTTAAGAAAAAACCAAAAGAAAGGAAGAGTTCTATTTTGCTCAAGAATAACGCAAATATGTATAAAAATATAATAGGTAATTTGAATATTTACTCACTTGTTAAATTTCTCTTCATCGAACCATTTTGGTAGTTCCAGTGCTAATTCTTCTGGCTTTACATTGTCTGATGGATGGTCAAACGCCTCCTGGGTGAGGAGAGCGTCCACGAACGCTTCCGCTGTAACAAAAACATTTTAAATGAGAGGATGTATACGACAAAAATATTATTTTGCATCTTGGTCACCTTTTTCCTAGAAAACATGATTGATATTCTTGACATCTTCACACACATGTACAAAATTCTAAATCCAAATCGAATTCGTAACTAAAAATGTTTTAGGGGTTTCTCAGGGAAGTATTTTGGGGCCAATCCATAGTTTAAAATTTTGCTCATTAAGGTTCTAAAATATGTTTTAAATAAGTATTAGCCATATTATGATTAGCTGGTTATCAATGATATTAGCTACTTCCCACCTGTACAACTTTTTTTGTAAAAACGCGATTCATAATGGTAACAATGGGTTCGAACAATCATGATTGGTGGGCACTTATCAGTAAATTTGTAAACACTGGCCGGAACAATATGCATTTTGATGTCTACTCTTGCACCAAAGCCACACAGCGCAACGTTTTCGACATGGAAATTATTTTCGTTCAGTTGTTTATATTTTTATTATCGTCGCAACTAAGTAGCTCCGATTGGGTAAGAATAATATAAAAATACGTATTTCAACAAAATAAAAACTTAACCATAATTTTCCATTAATTAAAAAGCCAGTGAAACATAAAAAGATTAACGTAATAATCTGATTGTAATATTTTTGCTGATGTTATCCAACAGGTCTCAGAATGGATGGGTCCTATCCAAGATCAAATGTAAGTTGTTTTCCTTATTTATATTTTATAAAAACGTCTAATCTCTACATAGGTAGGATATAGGTACTCCAAGATTATTTTAATATCCTTAACAACGAAGAATAGTGACAAAATGCAGATGTCGAAGTAAAAATTGGTTCACAAACAAAATAACGTACCAATAATATATATAGTAGCAAAATCAAAACATACCATAAGTCAATGAAATATAGGGGCCCCAACGAACCCACACAAGTGTAGTAGGACCAGGAAAACCACGGTTTAGTTTCCTGATTGACAGCACCTAAGAATATGTCGTAATGGCGTAAGATTATAGGAATTAGGGAAAATTATATTATATTGAATATGAAATAGGAAACAGTATATTAAACTAAAACCTTTTTTTATAAGAGATGTACAAAGAAGATCCAATGGCGAAAAGATGATTCAAATCGTTCCGGAACAGTTCGATAAGAAGTTAGAGGACAAAGTGCCAACCCAGCTGTCTCCTATGACCCTGAAGATCAAGCTGGAGGAGACACTGCGTTCAGCCAAGGTGTTAGCAGAAACATTGAAGACACAAATTGGCGATCTGATGAAACGAGAGAATTTGCTAAAGGACGCCATCACGAACGGCAGGTAACGTGGCATTCATTCTAACACTTTGATATGAACAGAAGTTTCATTGGTTCTCGTATTTCTACGCAGAACTCTTGAAGGGATTTCAATACAATAATGAGATAAGCTATAGCTCTAACTTGAACATTATTGTTCATTTCATACCATTAACTTAGGAAAACGTGAATGGGTCTGTGTATTGCTTTATCCGAGATATAAAGCTTTGATAATATTCGGATAACTTTACTCTTAATTCGCAAATCAACCCGCAATAAAAAAGTAAAACCACTCCTTTTTAATTCTTTAAAAACTAATACTTAAAACAAAGAGCATAGTAATTTTATTGTAAAGCCTCTATTATCAGCATTGTATCTGGATCTACTATAAGTGGATTGTTCTAAAGATACCTAGTGACAACTTGGTAAGGTCGTAAAGGGGTAATAAGTTACGTAATAAAAAAAATGGACTGTTTAGTAATAAATAGTTAACAATACCGATGATGATAATTATGGATATGATAAACACTAAACAGGGTAATCGGAACGGTCCCGAAAAACGCCGACAGGTGATAGTAAAAAACAAGTTTATTTTCCTTAATGTAAGGAATTAAATTTTTCTTTTGTACTTGTGATAATAGTTGTAATCAGCTGTTCAAGGCTGATGTTGCATGAATTACACGAAAACAAAAACGTTTAAAACTATAATCACAATTTCTTTTTGTCAACGTTTCGTTTTCCGTTTACACCCTGTACATCCTGCTTATTGAGTAGAACGATTAAATTATAGGTTAGTTAAGTATGGGAAAAAATAAGCTGTAGCTATAGCTAGATAGATCCCGATTTTTTATGGAATTTTCTTTCTCTCTAATAATTAGAATTTTCTTTCAGAAATCTCCTAGTAAACTCTAAATCTTATTAAATATTGTATCCATCTTAACTTCGATCAAATAGACTTAGTTACATTTGATTGAAGCATCTTGCTGACTGATTATGTTTTTAACGGAACTAAATTTCACCCACAGCCACGTATAATTATAAATCGTTATTTCTTGGTCTACTTACTTATAATACTAAATCATTATCAATTACAAACATGCAGCAGTTTTGTGTTAGCGTTAAAAACACAAATGTCAAAATAAGAAAGATTTATTCTTATTTTTTACTTATTTCTTTTCTCTGATGTATGAAAGAAAATGAAAAATGGATTTATCGCAATAACTCATGTTAAGGAAAATATAATATTTTACGGGCATTAATCAAGAAGAAGTGTAGCAAATAAATAATAGGTTCGAACCATTAATGTGTTTATAACGGGTAAATTAGAGAATAGAACCAGTAACCACTGGCATAAAATATTTTGATCACGCTATACCTATTTATAATTCTGAAGTACAGTCTAATTGTAATAACTAACTGTTTGATACATAGATAGTAGATAATTTTAATTTTATATTATCATTTTCCTGAGCCATACTACTTAAATAAACGTTTGCCGTTTGTCGTGTGCCATGCAGCTGACCATTCTGTCAATTCGAAATTTCAGAGTTACCTCGATCGCATTCTCTCCCGTCATTGGTTGATATTATTCTCACAGACAATGACATGGCGGACCACGATCGAATAACACTTCTTTCAAATTAAAAGTTACAGAATAGCTAGCTGCTCATGAATATGGTGAACCCCTAGTGTGGTTTGAAACTAATCGAGTCTCTCGGCAAGCAGTTACCCAGGGAAGCCGGTAAACATAATAATTAATCTAGTAGATAATTAGAATCCGGTTTATTCATGGTAGGTAATGTTTTATGACAAGATTATGCAGTAAATATTTATTATAGAGATTGTCTTGATGGTTCTGACGTCGTACTTTTTGCAAGTGTAACTGAATACGTCTAGCTACAGAACGATTTATGAATGACAATACGACTACTTATAGGTAATTAATAGCCACTACAATTACTTCACTATCGCTGTTAAATACTTTATAAAATGAATAAATTAGCTCACATAGGTATGTAAAAAAATGACATACAAAAACCTAATACTTATTATACCAAAGAACCCAATACTTATTATACCTAAAAACCCAATACTTATTATACCTAAGAATATTACCTATACCTACTATACTTATTCATATTATGTAAGCCCCAAGATATGCATAAAAATTCACAACTACACCAATATTAAGAAGAAGAAGAAGAGACCGTCATATTGCTATTCTAAATTATATACACGTTAATGTTCAGCTTACTCACGTAACTGTTTGACGAGCAACTCGACTAGTTTCAAGCCATACTAGAGGCTCATATTCATGAGCAGCATTCTTCGACATGCGACGCGGCGACTATCGTGCTGCTACTTGGCTACTCGAGTCTGTGGTGTAACTAGTCGATATTTTCGTCAAACAGTTTTTGAGCAGAAAACGTAATAGTTGAGTTTGTATCACGAAAGTTATAATGTATACTTGTTGTAGAAACTCAATCTAGTGTAACCATAATTATGCCTTGTTCGCACTTTGCTAGTATTTTAGTCAAGCAACTAGTGTATAGTACATCCCTCTCGCTTCTGTCCCAAATTCGAAGCGAGAACGAGTTACTAAATACTCGCTACTTAACTAAAATACTAGCATAGTGCAAACAAGGCATGAGGCTTAGTCCGACCAATGGAGTAATCTATTCTCTGTAGTCAATCAAACTTTATTTCCATAACTGCATACTAAATGGCTTGGCTGATTGTACAATGTGTATTTTTTTCGCTGGACTTCAATAATTGCTATAAATACACTCAGTATTATTTATTTGTTTGTTTATAACTAATAAATACTAATAAATAGATACTTTTATATCCCATAAATAATGAAGAGGTAGATAAATAAATAAATAACCAGTATTTAGTGGGTAGGTACCGATTTGTTTAATGAGTACCTTTGCATTTACTGCGTCATGAATCCTTATAAACCTCTTTAAATAATTATTTATATAAATATATTGCAGACGTTAAAGAGGAAGGCAGGTGTATGTGTTCACTTGGTTTTTACACAATCCTTCAATATTAATGTATGGGACGGATTGCATAAAATAAAATGTGTATATGTCCATGAAACAAAGAATGGAAAATTTAAATTGAGATATACCTACGTTAACCAATAAATATAGGTAATAGAATAGGTTAGTGTGAATAACCGATCTTATTACTAAATCTCTAGACCGTTCTATTTTTTACGATCTATTTTAGATTGAAATATTTTGGTTGTTATTTTACTAACATCATGCTATTATTGAGCACTTTGAAACTACAAAACATTACATTCGTATACAAAAAAAATAGAGTAACTATAAAAAATATAAGTATTTTCGTTAAAACTATAATAAGCCTTAATAGCGTATAATTATTAGGTATACACTTGAAACACAATGCAGAGAAAAATCTATTTTTATATACCTAATACTATTTATTTTTATTTCGTGTTGACAGGCCAGGCGTATCAACATTAACAGTATCAACGATGAGTCAGGTGCCTCGCTCCTACATCATTCGCAATGGCCGGTGGACGCTCTGTAATGGAATGATCCAGTTCCCCATCCCTAGTCAGGCTTCATCTACCAACCTCTTCAATGGACTCTTCTCCGAACCCAGATGCATTGGACGAGAGGTACAAAATAATTATAGACTACATAAATATTTTCGATACAAAGCCTGACAGACCATTTCGCCTGGAGAAGACAATTGATGATGATGTCAATTTTACACGAGGGCAGATGGATATAGTTAGAATGTTCTATACATTTTTTATGGATATTTCTCTTTAGTAAAGAAAGTTAATGAAAACACTTATCATGAAGTTGATTAAAGTTTACTGCTAAATGTCTGCGATAAAATCTATTAATCTGCCTTTTAGTTTTTTACACGGCAATTTCTGAAAAATAAATCGTATTCTAAAACATTCTACGCGTAGACGAGAAACGAAACGAAGCGTTAAACCCCGATATATACGGTACGGATTATTCTAGAATAGCCAAATCTTTAGAGACACGATATCAACAATCGATATGACATGTTAATTATGTCTTATGTCTACATGATCTTTATATTCACAATAGACCTCTGGTTCACCATTACCTAGCCTTGGGTCTTGTGCTAAGCGTATGTCATTAAACCAATTAATAAGTACGTGTACGCTAAAAAGCCAGTTTCCACGGCCTTGAGTCTTGTAGATTTAAATCACACAGTGTAAATAACATAAAGAACGTTTGTATCTATTATGTAACCTCAAACTTGAACTTGTAACTTGTGATGGTAATCTCTGTTTATATTTATAAGTATGTTAAAGAGTACGAACATCTACTAGGAAAATAAATGTTTTGAACTTCTGACCCGAACTATTATAGTATACAAATATTATCAACCGACAAGTTATTTGTAGTGAAATAAGATAGGTACATAATCTGTTTTGTCGAATTAGTACATACAATTCTCTATGTACACCAAGTATTATCAATGGAAACAGTTACGTATTATGTGTATGTGTTCTGGGGACTGTAGTTATTAGAGAATACATTACGATGTTCTTTTAAAATATAACAGAATACATGACAGCTCAACTGTAAGTAACACCTAATAATTGATGATAATAATTATAATCTATCAACCAGTGGATATGGTCGTTAGATAAATATGGGAGAAATCAACAAAATTCTATCTCTGTACAGGTTCTTGATTAATTATGGAATTTTTGGACAATTATAATTAGACAACCAACTATTAGACGAAAAACTTAGCGAAAACTTAATAAGTACCTAATCCACTATAATAAAGACAACGATTGTTTATTGCTGACATTCATTTATGGTTTCACATTTATGGTTGACATTCATAAAATATTAATCAGAAAAACTGAAATAAATGCCAATAATCTTTATGTTGGATAATAACACCTAGAAAAACACTAAGATCTAATGAGTCATCGTGATAGTTATTTTCAATGAAATTAATATTATGTGAAAATAATGATGATATTTAAAATTTAAGACTCTTCAAAGGCTTTTGATAATATTTATCATAAAGTAATAATTTACTGCTACAAAGCTTTTACGCCTATTGACTTATGTCGTTGCATTGTATCTATCATAGATACAAGAATCAAAGTAAATATATTGTATAATATTAGAAGTTGTAAAACAGTGGTCAACTTAACATATTCGAGGAGTACCTCAAGGCTCTATTCGGGACTTCTTTCACGCAAGTTGTATGCACTAGTAAAGGGTTTTTTATGTAGAGGTAGAAGAGTATACGGCAATTTATATCACGTAAACGAAACGGAACGAAGATTTGCAAATCTATTTAAATTTTAATAGCTTGTCTCTCTAAGGAAGGCGTAAATTATCACTAGTTGCAATTGAATTTCCTAGTGCAGTGCAGTACGATTCACTTAGCTGTATTCAGAGAAGCTTATGTATCTTAACTTATCACACATCGACACCGATGATATATTAATTATTATCTCTATTATGTTTTATACAGTATTATGTTTTATACATATTCATTAAGGTTTTATAGTAATAAAAGTTATATTGGGTTTTTTAGCCACAGAATTCTCATTATAAGCTTAAGTGACTGGACTTTTACCCAGTGATTAAAAAGTATCCTCTATAACACGAATAAACTATTATAGAGGTGCTGCAAATATACCATATCTACACATTCAGGCACATATAGGAGTTAAGTTAGTGTTTTGATAGAAATGTTCATGATAAAGGAAGACAAAAGAGCGCCGACTTCCCCCATTGTAATGTGATTACCATGATTGAGCAATTAGCCTGTCATTGTTACCTTTTTGCTCGTGTGTTGACTATAATACGATTAAGTGTTATCCTGTGTTTATATCTAGAAACTCTTCTATCTACACAATTGTGTTGAGATATCGATCTAATAATATGATTGGCAAAAAGTGGTGATAATCCTTTTTTGCATAATTTGCTTACCCTTTGAGACATATAAGAATAGTCTTAGTTACTATCTTTATAACAAAATTAACTTTTAATAAACAAAGTAGACCGTGCTTACGTGCACATTGTCAGTTATCTCATCTGTAAGATTTTTTGTTCCTATAAATAGATAATAAGAGCTTAAAGTAAAATAATAAAGTCATTAAACATTTGTGGATTTAACACGTGTAGTAGGATCTATTGTTCACCTCCTTTGGTGTATGTGCTTCTTTTATAGTAGATAACCGGTTCTTTTCACTGTTCTCCAAGTCATGGTCCACGCGTCCATAATAAGTAACTGACATCTTAAGCCAAAACGCTAACTAATGCTTTAAACGTTAACGTTGATGAATGCATTACAATAACATAACCAGTCCGTTAACGAGTTAAATTGTGCTGTTCCAACTATAACCATCGATGTGCTAATTTCTTATACAAATATCAGGTACCGACAGTGCAAGACCCGTGTGTATTCAACTCCGTGATCAAATACGAAGTGGTCCCGGCAGTCCGAGCTCCCGAATACACTGAAGACGAATATCTTTGTCTGAAGTCAACTTTCAACGTCACTTTGGAACGCTACATGAGCGTGACGAGACAAGTCATGAACGACACGTGCAAAAATGGTAAATACAATGTACTTCAGTTATTTTAGCAATTGTGTGCGTGCGTTCGCATTCGGTAAATACAGCACCACTTGGCAGCTGCACGCGTACAGATTGCGAATGGCGGGCAGACTGTACTGTACCAGTAGGTACGATACAGTCAGTATATAGTAATATAGGGTGCCTTATAGGGTAATTGGAGGTTTATATTGAAAATTGAACTTAAAACCCCTAAATTTTACAAATCAAGCATCCACGTTCTAAGTACCTTCTAGTTGAGAACTTAGGGAGTACATTGCAGTTTTTGCAAAAAGAGCAAACTAGATAATGTTTGTTAGATTGATTCATAACATATCAATAACTTTTTGTTGAACTTTAACTGTAATTTAAACTGAAAATGGCTGAAGACTGGCTTGGTTGTAAAGTGTAAACTGAAGTTTCTATTACAATAGGTACCTATAGCATTGTAGTATTATTCTTGTGACTGACGATGAAATAAAACGAACGGTAAAAAAAGTTTTAAAAACTATTATATATTAATGATTTCTGGCCTGTTTTAAAAGTCTAGCAGTTGATTCTGAAATAGTATTTTTTGTAAGACATCCATAAAAAACAATAAATCAAAATGGGTGTACCTCAAGATAAATAAGATGAATACCATAGAATATAATTTTTTAATTTCTAATTTGAATTTAATAGAAATTCCCGATAAGGTACATAAGGAAAGTGGAAACTATTGTTTCATTTCTTCTCCTCTTATAATATCTTCTGGTTTATTTCGTTGCGGGAACCAAGACAGTTATTTATGTGCCTGGGACGCGCCGTACCTCAGGCTTCCGGTATTTTTATGATTGCATCTACTGCAGATCCTGGCTTACAGGAGTTGTAGCAGTATTAGGAGGGTGTGGAGGGCTTGTCCCATTAACTCTTTGAGTACCGTCATTATAGACACAATTAAAGAACAATAGGTTGCGGTCACCGATGACCGCGCGGTATTTGATAGTTTAAAAAAAATAAGTACCTAAGTAAAGGAAATTAAGTAAAAAAATATGTGAATTCAGAGTTTACCTACGTCATTTTGTCTGAAAATTAACAAACAAAAGATATCCTATGTCTTTGTTACCAGAACAGAAAAGTTAAATAATAATTTACATCTATAAACCTAGAAGTAAAATGTAAGTAAGTAAGTAGGCAGGTAATTAAAAAGCAAAACCGAGCTAAAAATAGACAATTAAATAACAGTTATTTTTACATAATACGGATAGTTATTTTACACTTATTCTTATGTGTATGTTGATTAGGTACGAAGACGAAACAAGTATCAAAACTGGTTTCAGATTTTACGTTTTTTTAAAACGTATCTTAATTTTTTTATAATTGTAAAGTTACATAATTATTAAATCGCAAATCTTGAAAAGTGATGCTAACTATAAACCTCGAGAATATAGAACAACAAATTGGGGAATTTTTGTGTATGTTTTTGTATGTAAGAAGGTTTTAAGCAATAAAAACTGGAAAATTCACTGGAAAATAGCATCGATACCTATAAAATCGGGGAGGCGGTAACGGTAGTACCTACAATTTCATTACACAATATGTGGTATATTATCATCTTTTCAACTACCTATGGCTATTAACTGTAATTTGTTTGTACTTAATTAGCTAGAGCAGCTTCTACTCTTTTAATATCTTCTGATTTACTTCATTGCGGGAACCAAGACAGTTACTCATATCCCTGGGACGGGCCGGACTTCAGTGTTCTGGTGTTTTCAGCGTTGTATCTACTGTAGATCCTGGCTTACAGGAGTTGCAGCGGTTTTGGGAGGGTATGGCGGGCTTGTGCCATTTAAAAAAAATAATTTAGCTAGAGCAGGTTTAAACTGTCAAACACCAAGCGGTCACCGGTGACCGCGACCTATTGTTCTTTAATTGTGTCTATAAAACCGGTACTCGACGAGTTAATGGAGTTTTCCAACCATACAGATTTTTATTCCACACATCAGTATTTCGCTTGTTTTTATTAGTCTCATAGTCTCTAGTGTTTTAGCAAATTTTTTGTAGCACCCGGTTATTGCCGTGGCTGTAGATGCTACTCACAAAAACAAGATTATAAACTTGCTGTTTCGACGTTCGTCCGCGTGTTTTTATGTTACGACTTTACTAGATATTTCGATGTTTATTATTAGGCCTTCCAGAATGTACAAGTCATAAAAGTTAATACGAGTACTGTAAACGTACTGTGAGAAGCCTAGTCCTACTCTAGAAGCTAATCAAAATTTTTGTAAAATGACCATTATTAGCCTGCCAGTCAGAAAGTTCGGCGGTGTTCCTGACCGTGCCTGCACCTGTAGTCTTGTGCTTAATAGTTCGCGACTAAGATCACTCAGATCAGTTCGCCGCTCCTAAACGAACTAGTTCGCTCTTTTAGTTCGTCAGCTCCCGACTCCCGGTTAGAGTTGGAATTGGAATGAATCGCATAGGAAATAGGAAGGCACTGGCAGCCAAACAAATCGCTCCCTAGTTCGTCAGCTCCCGACTCCCAGTTGGATTTGGAATCGGAATGAATCGCGAACTATGAAGGCACTGGCAGCCAAATCGCTCCCTAGTTTTGATGCAAGTTCCTGCACGCAATGAAATATTTATAATATATATAATATATAATAACAAACTACACAAATAAGAAAAATTATAATGCTTTTAATAGTCAACTTTTATTATTTTTTGTTTTATTTAAATCTAAATAAGTATAAACTTATATAATAAATAATTAATTAATCACTTAATCAATTATTATTCAACTAATATATACCTCTACTAAAAAAAATAATTAAAATTAGCACACAGTAAACTTATTAATTTAATTAATGACTTTTCAAGTGAGATCATATTATGTTATCGCATTTTTTAGTTCGATCTTCACCATAGACTATACATATAAACGACTTCATAATCCTTGTACTTGTACTTTGAAATACCTACGAACTAGGAACTAAGGAGTTGGGAATGACGTGAACTAGTTCGAATATTTTGAATGTGGGAGCGCTCTTTTGAACTAGTTCGTTCGCGAACTACACAAGCCTATGCGCCTGACCTCACTCCAGTCGTAGCGGTCTGCCGTCCCATCGGGTTCAGAGAGTGAGGGAACGTGTGAACCTGTGTTTGCGCTCATATATGTACTTGTGCACAAAATAACTCCTACACAGTGGGCTAGTCTAGTTAGACAGACTGACCACCATGATCGAAGTCGATCGGCAGATTTATTTTATAACTAAAGATTTATTTGTCATTTTATAAAATAGGTGCTGCTTTTTATTCTCAATCTCTTTTTAACAGTTTTATTAATTACAGGTATCATCAGGAGCCTGGGAGATAACAGCCTGGAATGTGGTGTGAGAATATTGTCCGAGTACAGTTTCTATCCTCACAAAAGTTCAGCCTCATCTTCTTTGCCACTTGAATACTGCGTAGAAAAAGATGGGTCATGCAAACTCATTATGGCTTGGCACGTCTCTAACGCAACCATAGAGAACTTCGAGTTTTTAAAGAACGAACACAATTTCAAAAAGTATTTTATAAAAAGTGGCCCATATATTGAACACGTAATTTAATTGTTGTAGCTTATTTTAGAATTAAATAAATGAATTATAATTTAATCATGATTATTGCGATGGGAAATTAAGATGAATAAATTGTTATGAGTAAATCTTTACGTAAACATATTTTTTAAACGTTCAATCAAAAAGCAGTTCAATCATAATATGAAATGAAATTACACGTTTTGACTAAAGTTTACATTGGAATGTTGCGTACAAGATACCTACTTACATAATTATATAAAAAATATGGTGTCTCTTGGACTAAGAACAAGTTCGTCGTGTTTTTATTTGTCTTTATCATTATAACGGTACGCTACGCAACGCGGTGCAAAAAGCGATCGATAGAAACTATGTTAGTAAAGTTTATTTCTCTGTACGTCTTTCGCTACATTCGATACCTACCCTTAATTGTTAATCTTTATAAATCTACATTAATATTTGTTAAAAAAGAATATTAGAGATGGCTTGTAAACTTTCTATTTAAAAAGGTGCAAATAATATTGTAACAATAAGCAAAATGTAGGTAGGTAACACGCAAAATTTACTACTATGATTACTAAAATTATTTCTTTTTACGGGATAAGCTGGTAATCGAGCGCACGGATCACCTGATGATAAGCAATCGCCGTCGCCCATAGACACCCGGAACACCAGAGGCGTTACACGTTACCGGCCTTTTGGGGATAACGAATTCGAGGGTTATTGGGGTTTCAGGGATTGGGGAAACCTAACGGTTTACCGGGGCTCCGGCTCAATGTGCAGGAGAAGGAACGGGATGGTTTTTAGTCAGTAAGAGTCTGACACTCCCTCCCGCCTCACCCAGTCATTCGGGAGCAGTCATTCGATGATTTTCCCCCCTTAAAAAAAAGGGATTGTGGAAGGGGGGGGGGGATAATTGGGCCTCCGGTAACCGCACTCATACTACGAAACACAACGCAGGCGTTACTAAATATAATGTTTTCTCCTGCTAGTAGCACTAGTAGCAGGAGAAAACATTATAACAAACGTAAGTAGCAGGCTGCTACGTACGTTTGGTCTCAGCACAAATATTTAGCTCCCCTTTTTAAACCTCTGATAAGTAGGTAGGTACGAGGATTACGGACATGGATCACTGTCCGCATAATGCGGTAATGTTCAAATTATATTAGGGCACCTATATAGTTTGTAATTATCTCACAACGTATTCAACGCGGTTTCTGATGACCTAAATAATGTAGCACAAATAGCAACTTATACTTTTGGCGGTAGGCTACTAAATAACTGTAAAAAAATAATCGAGATTAACCAAGAAGTATTATAATAGAATCATGGAGAAATCTGAATAAACCTGCATACACGCAGACGCTACCTACATAGCAATAACAAATACATAACTGTGATTTTAGAACACAGTACCACTCTGTCTGTCTAATCAGTACAATTTTGATAAAACTTACCGCTCGAAGGCATGATTTCTTCAAATTGTCACTTCAATATATTTCTTCATAAACAACTTTTAATTTAAAACTAATTTAATCGAACTAGTTCTCGCGATGTTTTTTATTTAACAAACGCTACATCCACACTGCGTCAATTTCATAGACAGACTGAATTTGTCAATTTGACTTTGACGTGACATAAGACGTGCAAGTTGAAATTATTTCATTTGACACTGACAATAAGAAGAAGTTATCAAAATACTGTGTCTATGCGTTGTCATTGGCCAATCACATTTCATGTCAAATTGACAATGTGTAAAAATGTCAGTCAATAACGTCATGGTCAATGTCAATAAAAATAATATTGACTTTTTTTTCGAATTGTACCTACTACTTGTCGAAGTATTTTATAAATAAAAGTAATTATAACTTTGTTTAAATTACAAAATGAAATGTCATGTACCAGGCCCTAACGTGAAAGGTAAGTATATAAGAAATATATTTAAAATTTGGGTTTTATCCGTGAACCATAACCTTAGCATGTTTTCATACAAAATTTAATTCGAATGTTATTTTAGTTTTAGCTCGAACTGTTCATGCTCTTGCAAGATTTGGTGATGAACTCTACCTGGAATCTCTTCCCGACCGTATACTGTTAAGAACTCTGAATGCAGCTGAATCTGCATATGCTATGGTAAAATTTAATAAGAACTTCTTCTCTTACTTTAACTACAACTATTATTCCACGGAAGATAATGAAGGACTGAAGTGTAAAATATTCATGAAATCGGCGCTAAATACGTTCAAGTCTCCTACACACTTAGACAAGCAAGTTGAAAATCTAGAAATCAAACTAGATCCCGAGTCCTGTAAGTTAATATTCCAGTTGAAGTGCAGACATGGCATTGTCAAAACACACTTCGTATCAATATTAGATTGTAAAGCAATGCAAGCAGTATATACAAAAGATACTGTACCAAATAGGTAAGTTAATAACAATATGCTTATAAATCATGGCATGGTCACGAACATGTCTAAATAAACTCAGATTATAAATTTTGGAAATCTTTTTTTAGGATAACTTCTCCACAGAGAATACTATCAGATGCTCTCAGTAACTTCCAAAGCTCAGATGATCAAGTGACTCTTGAAGCAACCTCAATGTCTCTCATATTAAGAAATTACATAGACTGTAGTGCAGATCTGACAAAAATTATTAGAACACAGATTAGCTTGAAGCCTGCAGAATTTGATAGCTACTTGATAGGAACCGAAACTGTCATTACATTCTCACTCAAGGAGTTTAGAGCACTGCTTACATTCTCTGAAGCCCTCAATTTGCCTCTACAGCTACATTTTGAGACTACTGGAAGACCCGCGGTTTTTATTGTACATAATGGCACTACATTTGAAGCACACTTTGTGTTAGCTACAACTAAGCCTGATAATGCATCACAAACTACAACAACACAGAATACTAATATAGAAAGAAACAAACGAAAAGACACCAGTGGTACACAAGGTTCTGCTCAGAAAAAGCCTCATCTAGATGCAGACATATCAAAACGTTTAGATGAAGACTCACATTTATTTAATTTTGTAGATATACCAGGTGATAATGAAATAATTTTAAGTAATAAATTAAATGGTAATCATAGTATAAACACAAATAAGACTGTGAATGATCTAATGGACTGTGATAATATTCCTGCTTCGCCTGCTGCCAGAACTATGATTAAGTCTGTGTTTAAGAGGTGTTTTGAAAGCACTTTTGATCCAAGGAGCATTCAAGGTGCAGTACTAGCGGAGAATTCAGACAGTGATTGACATGCAAACAACTGTATATTTGATAAGAATAAACAGAAATTCCGTTTTTACCAAAGTTAAAAATTTGTTTCTATTCCTCTATGAACTTACAATGTAAAGGATGAGAGGATGGTAGGTATTGGTGTTCCAAATCAAATCACGTTATCACTGCATTATGATTTTATAGCAAAAAATATACATACACAGGGAAAAGTATTATACACACGTCACAAATCAATGTTCGATGATATACGAGCGAATATGAGGGGTTTTCATTTATCATCTTTTATAACTATATTAATTTTCACATCCAAAATGGTAACAAAGCTTTTCTTTGAATTGTACACAAAAACATAATTGACAATATTGAGAACTAATGTACAAAACTAAAAAGATATCAAACAGTTTCAACATTCTTCTTGCCTAGTTTCAAAGTTGAGCAAAATTTGTAAGTGGTATGTGTAGCTCGCTACACCATCGCTTTGCGATAGCCTAACAGCTGCTATTTTGTCAACCTGTGCTTTATTCATATGTGCATAGAGGGCAAGGTAGAATCGATACAATTATAAGTTTACAAAAGTTATATTTATTCAGTAAAAATTATAATTAAGTATTAAAACTACTAAAATTAGCACTAGAATAAAATTGTAATTCTGAGAAGCGACGTTATAAAGGCTACCAATAACACAATTAGTATTGCATTGCATCAGGTCGGTAACTAATTATCATGCAAATTATAAGTTTGGTAGCTCATTTTACTTTTTTTATAATTTTGACATGTTTTAAGTATTGCATGTTTGTTTATATTTTTACAATAACATAAGTTGCGATACGTAATAAATAATTAATCATTGTTTTAAATTACTTCAGATTTGGTTTCTACTATACAGAGATCAAACTTGTAGTCATATTAGGAAGTAAAGACAACAAAATGCAGATTTGTTTTTCTATAAAAATTACCATACATATTTCATTATTATAACAATAGCAACATGTCTTAAAAAAGATGAAAAAGACCTTGGATTCTATTTTAATTTATTATTTATAAAATACGGCAGCGATACCTTTTAATTACAATAAGTATTTATTTTAAATCAATTTCAATATTGTCTCTGGCCCGGGTGGGTGGGCCCGCACTATGAGTCACGCCGGGGCCTGCTCTCAACAACGTCCTAACTGCATCACCAAACACTCACTATCCAACTAAATTAATGAAAAAGGGCACTGTTACTTAGGAACAATCCTCTTGGCTCTTTCTCACACACTGTGCTACTTTCCTTTTAAACTCCGAATATGATTCTCTCCATTCTTTCTGTAAAAAGAAACAGAATGAGCACTCGTCTACTAAAGGCGTATGCGGGTCTTGATTGAGTAAAAACTGATTGGTGCGTGCAGCGACCTAGCGTGAAAATTATTCAATGTGGTATGCTTTTGGTATGGTTGTCACATGTGGCCCTTCTCCAATGATAATATATTGTGATCTAGTTCCCCTCACTCTCCTAAAAACAATCTTCTTGACTTTTCCTAACACATCTCGCAACTTTCTTTTTGAAATCCGAATATCGCTCTCTCCATTCTTTCTGTGAATGCAAACAATAGTTAAATGAGAATGGTAATAATTACAGATGCAGACAAACACAAGCACATTAGAAGTCTCCTGTAAAGTAATCCAAATATTAATCTTAGACAAAAACAACTACATATTTATAACTATACAAACACTACACACAGAAAACTATGAAATCTATTGAATGTTTCTTGCATAGCAACAGTTTAGGTACAGGCATTGACAATTAAATTAAAATACCATGCTATTTTCTTCTAAATTGCTGATCATTTAGATAATCAACTAAATTCTTAACTTATTGAATTAATAGCAAGTGTCATTACTTCAGTACATAAACATTTAACAAACTCTTGGTGCCTGGTGCAATTAAATGCTCTATTTGTAACAGCTATTCCTTGACAACTGTGGGTAGAGTTGAAGAATTTTTTACTTCTTCACCTTCTTGGAAATAAGACAAGGTAGGGCACTCAATTGGATGAAAAGTTAACTTTCAGACCTACAAAATATCTACCATTGATTTATAACACTTCTTACAGTAAGGTGGCTCTGCTAAAATTTGCAATTACTTATAATAATAAAAAATTACATAAAACTAGCATTCATTACTAATGCTGTTTCTACCAACAAACTATTGATAATTCATAGTCTCTAAAAAATAGTTGAATAGAAATAGGTATACTGGCATTAATTACTTGAATGAGTAAACAAATATCACAAAACAGGTTTCATATTGCATGCTACATACTGAATAATAAAGAAATTGACATCACTTCACTCACCGCAGCATCAACATTGGCGGGGCTCTCATCATTAGGGTCTGCCAGCATGGAAATTACACTTATAAGAATGGTCTCGACTGTGTGCACTGGCAACCACCGCTCTGAGGCCTTTTCATAGCCCCACTTGTCATCACCAGGTTCGTGTAATATTGATATGCAAACATCACCATTCTTTTCGACTGAAAATGTAAACAAGGCATTTTTATTAAGTAAATTGCTTTAATACATGTTAAGCTGCCTTAGGTATATAATTTTATTTTTCTTTATGACTTAGAAGCCAGAAATGAGCCTAGTGTCCATACACTAAGCCTGTAAGAAAGATAAATGTAATAAGTCTATCTAAGAAGCTTTGTAACATAACTGGTGAAACTGTTACAAAATGATATAATAGGATGTATTTGAATCCTCACTGTATATTACATTGTTTATTTAAACAAACCAAATCTAAGTAAGTAGCAATACTAAAATTTATTAGTTCATCATCAATGTTTATTTAATTTTACTGTTTTTATCAGAATATCTATTGCCAAGGACTGATAATAATAGAGTTCCAGTAAACATGTGTTGTAAGATGATGTCTATTTCATTGCTATTTCAAATATGCACTTACAAATATTTGATAACTATTATGAAATACAATACTTACTATTCGGATGCCATATTTCAGTGACAAATTTCATCCGCGGTGGCCTCAGAGGATATTCTTTAGGAAAATGTAAGTGTGCCTTGAAGAATCCACCCTCACTGGAAATTGAAATAAACTTTAATGTAACATTCCAATCCCAAGTAACATTCCAATAAGAATACTTAAAACTGGGATTAGATTGTAAAATATTGTTATTGCAATAAGCAGTTTCAAATAGGCAAATCAAAATCACTATCATTTTGAAATAACTTTGTGTAACAATTTTATAATATTTACAATGCCTAGGATATGAGATAACCATGAAGATTGTCATCTTTCTAAAGAATGCTTAGTCATGTGCATGTCTGAGACATTGTATTCAGAAAACATCATGCATGAGAGGTTAACTTTGAGTAAACAGTTATATAAACTTGTTCAGTGGTTCAGTGAGTAAATGAATGCCTGCTACTTACTATAACGTGTCTGGAGGACCGATGATGAGGACTTCCCATCTGTATATGTCATTGTCATCTATCAACCCAGCAGAAAAGCCTTCTACTGGATTTTTGTTCAATTCTGAAATCAATGAATGGGTAACCCGTGTAAGAATTTACATTATAAATTATTTCTTAACATATTTAAACAACATTATTGGTGAGAAACGCAAAAGTCTGCCAACTGTGACCCGTAAATATACTTGTAAATAGTTATTTTACTCATTTGACTTTGGCACGAGAACACCTGTCATTCTTGCGAATATTGATTTTACTAAATCGAGTCCATTTTTAAGCGCAGTCATAAAAATTAGCACATTTGAAGTACAAAGGAAATCTAGAACTTACAGAATCATCCGAATCACAAAGATACTCAAAATTCGACCCGCTGAGGTCAATGAATGCTCGAATAACGAGTCTGACGTCTCTAGCAAGAGACATCACCACAAATTTATATCACATAAGGATGACACACTTACCAGCTAGCTGCTTTTTCAATAAAAGCGAAGACTGTGGCTCTGACATTAATTACAATTGCGAAATTTACCCTGACGAGACGAAACAAATGATTTTTCCACAAAAGATGGCTGTCTGAGTTTTGAGCAGGTTGTGAAACATTGAAACATATGAGTTACTGCTTGTTTCCGGTAAAAGTTGCCATTATATTAAAGTTAAAAAGTAATATAGTTAAGCAGTCTATTCAAAATTACACAAATAATTATTATTAACGACTTTAATATGTGCAATATTTCAGTTTCATTCTGTATAACAAATGTTAATCAATAAAATTTTAGAAAAACTACACTTAAATTAAGCATAATATAAGAAATATTTAGCGTGGTTGGTTTTATTCAACAAAATTAAACGATAGCTTTTTACTTACGTTTGTTATTATTTAGTTAACTACATAATTAGGTTTCGTTTTTACAAATAAAAATATTTCGATGAAAATGTGAAGATTTTGCTTAGGTCAGTCGTAAATGGCAATACTCGCCGGATCCTTGTTACGCCATCTATTGGCCAAATTCAGAAAATCCAGCTCTATTTAAAAATATCTGCCGCCTTCAGCTCACATCTTAGATTCTTGAGTCATTCAGATATTAATACTATATTGTGTCTGTTGGTGACTGCTCACTTAGGCGGCACACAGACGCCAGGGTATAGGATTAATTATTACACCAATAACCATGCTCACAGTAATAAGTTTAGTCCCTAGTCCCTTGTATTTGATGGTAGTACGATATGAAAGCTTTCATCCTTTCACGAAATTGGTTCCACTCAATGCGCAGGTGTAGGTAAAGATAAAAATTGTATATCATTTAGGAAGTAGATTAAATAGACAAAATAATAATATGATTCAGTTCAAAAATGTTGAAAAGGTTTTCAACGGAATATTCTTAGCAGGAAAATTAATAGGTTTCTAATTAAGATTGGATGTGTGTCTGTGATTAAAAAAGGTTTTTTTCTAGGTCTGTAATTTATTATAAAATTCAAACTTAACTTATAACTTAGTTAAAATTATTCACTTTCACTGATTTTTTGTTTCTTTTGTTGTGGTTCTGCATTACCATTCATCTGTTCAAATTTCTTCTTTTTCTTTTTGTTCTTTTTTGATTTACCTTTATTATTCTGCTGATTATGATTTTCTTGTGCTTCCCTCTTTAAATTACTTTTCAAAGCAGGTTTACATGAACCCACAATCTCCAATAATTTATTAAAATCCAATTTTGATTCAACATGGCAACTTTCATGGAACTGTCTCATTGTATTTATTAACTTTTTCAATGTAACGAAAAAGTTATTTTTGACTGCACACTCTGCATCAGAACTTAGTGATTTTGTTAGAGTCTCTTCAAAATTAGCCTCTAAGCTAAACAAAGCTTTGAGAGCCGGCTCAGAGGTGGGTTTATTTCTTTTTAGTCCACGGTAAAATCCAGCAATTAACTCTAACCCTTCATTTCGTCGGAAATGCCTTACATTATCATTAAAAACATTTTCTATAATTATGGGCACAAGCTCATAACTGCCAGTCCATTCAGTCTGCAACACATTGTGGAAGAATATAATCGGCAGAACACAATTACGATTCTGGAAGTAGCTTTGTGTGGATTCCTTCAAAATTTCGATTATTGGTGAGACGGGTTTCTTTTTCTTCGGCGATTTGGGTGCTTTCGTTTCAATTTTTAATGAACAGTGTATTATGAATGTAGCGAAAAATGTAATAATGTCACCCAGAGCCTGGAACAAAAAGTGACTCCTGGCGCCCTTGTCTATTGTCGCTTTGAGGTGGTCACACAGGACATTCATGTCAATATCATCAACTGAAGAGAACTTTCGAATTTTAGCGAGGGCTTTAACAGTTTTCCTAACTCTGTTCTCCAATTCGTTAAATTGGCCATCTTGGATGCAAAATTCTAAGCATCTTGTCAGAGGCGCGATCATACCGAGACAGATATCCATTGATGGATCCTTTTCTAAGTAAATATCAATAAGATCCAGAACTCTAATTCTGAAATCTGACAAAGCCTTTTTGTCCTTACGATCTTTCTTTGATTTTTTACCCTTTCCTTGTTGGAATTGTTTAAAGGCCTCCGCTAAAGCTTCGTCGAGCTTTTTGCCCTCCTCTTCATCAATCATGTCTGCATCAACACTTTCAGCGTCCGACTCTAGAGCTGCGGCACCCAGCGCTTTCTGGACAGCCAGTCTCAACTGCTCGGGAGTTCGCATTTCTTCATCGTCGGCATCATCATCATCGTCTTCCGCATCATCACTGTCACTCTCTTCATCATCATCTGCATTTTCGTCATCACTGTCTTTACCATTCTCTTCTGGTTCACCATCATCTTCATTTTCGGAGTCAGAGTCTTCATTAGTCAATGGGTTAGATTCACTCTCAGGGTCCAGCACAGATACAATCTGTCCTACTGATGATGGAGTCAAATATTCCCACAATAATCTGAATACACATTGTACTACAGATCTGAGAACACTAGATTCAGCTGACAATATAGACAGTAAAACTTCAACCAATACCTCAATCCATTCTGGTTCACCTGATATTTCACCCTCTTTTCCTTGTTTAGATTTCTTTTTCTTACCTTTTCTATAATGTTCGTAGCAACTCTTAAGTTCCTTGATCGAACTTCTAGCTATTTTAACATGAACAGGCTCTGAGAATAAGAATAGTCCAAGTTGGTAGAGCAACACAAGGAATACTTTATCAACTTTTGACTTGGTATCATTCTGTTCTATATTCTGACAGACTTCCATCAACATCTCCCAGCAATCCATATTTTCTTGAGGGAATTGTTTCTCTATTTTAGCTCTGACTTGATCTTTTTGTAATATGCTACAAATGAAATTGCACAGAGATGACAACACAGTGACTAGGTTGTCGACGTTTGAGAAGCGGGATGTAAAACAACGGTAGAAACAGGACTTGATGGATGCTGGAAACAAATAAAGACATTGTTAATACAAAACTATATAATAATGTAAATAAAGGTTTCAATAATTTTAAATTATTTGACCAAATATTTACCTGATAACTCAGTGCTCACTGCCACAGTCTCTTCTCCACCAACTTTAAAGAAACCAAAACACATGAGCAGTTTCATGTAGACCAGCTTAAATTCTGTATCATCTTTAACAGCTTCATGGGACACAAGATATGAAATGAGTTCAGCTGCCTTTACTCTTTCATTGTTATACCAATTCCTCTCAACATCTTCTTTTATTACCTTCTTAGAGGTATTTAGAATAACACCCTTTAGTAATTTAGCCATCTTCTTCACACCATCTTCTTTTAAATCAGAAATAATAGACTTTACAATTGTGGTGCCTGATATCTCTGTGAAATTCATTTCTCCCGGATTGAAGAGCAGTTTTTTTAGTATTTCCACCCTAATGCTGTCATCCACCTTATCAGATTTGAGGGCTTTAGATAATGATATAAGGAGTTCTCTTTGTTTTTTAATCATTATCTTGTTGTCATCTTCATTGTCTCTCTTACTCCTGATCTTGCTTGCAGTTTGGAGTCCTTTAAACCAATCCATGAACAGTTTGAAGAAGTTCCTGCTTATCAGCTCAGGTATGAGATTAACATTTTCGGTAATGTTATTAAGAATTATATTGAGCATGTTTATTGCTACTAATTCTCTGTTTCTGTTGTGCTTCACAAGTTGACTATCAATGCCTGTTACCCAGAACTGTTGTAAATATGGCGAGTTAGCAATACCAGTAGCTATTTCCTTGTAGACGGGATGACCAACTGAGTTGAAATCTATACCAGTCTGAAATTATAAACAAGACACAGGATTAGTCTCTCTGATAAAGTATTGTAATGTTTGTGTTTTCTTATGAATTTATTAAGTTCTTACCATAATCTTTTCACAAATGGCGTCTATATTTTCTTCACAGAGTATTTGTGTAACACCAAGGAGTTTCCTCAACTTTACTTTAGTAGGAAACTTTGAGTTGACCATCATTAGAAAGTAGAGAGAATCCAGACTGTGCTCCTTGATGTCTTTCTTGAATTCTTGCTTTATTTGAGGCCATATTATTGTGGCAAACTGATCTTCATTTAACTGGAACAAATATTAAAGTTTGTTGACATATTATGTCTTATTCAATGTAACTTTTTGACCAAAATATCAACAAGAAGTAAATAAAGGGTTCAAACTGTTATTCTACCTTCAAAAGTAATTTGATACTTACAGTTTTTATGAAATCTAGAAGAATAAGGTATGCTACAGTGCTCAAATAAGACTTCTTCTTGCCAGCAGTAACTAACAACTGAATTACTTGAGCCTGCTCCTCAGCTGTACATTTCAAAAAAAGTTTTGATCTGAAGATTGCACCACAGACTAAAATCTGACCTAAGGCAACATCACCCACTTCCTGTGAATAAATAATTACATTGTATGAACAGTTTAATTAATCCTGACAAGAAGCAATATAACCTTAAGTTATGTATACGGCATTCCATTGAAGAAACTTTTGATTTACCTATTATTGTACATTTAAATCACAATTATGATATAAATAATATGAATCCTTCCACCAGAAAAGGTTGCCCAACAGTGGGACCGTTACAGGCTAATGATAATAATGAAACAAATAGACTAAAACAACAGATGACTGTACAACGAATTTAACAATCAATTGGTAACATCATTTCATAAAGATGTTTCAAAATATTACACAATGTAAATATTATTTTGATAGCATATAAAACTGAAGCACAAACTAGAGCTTCTATACATTTTTCTGAATAGATTAATAGTATACTTACACTCTTAGATGAGCCATTAGTGTGAAGCTCTTTTTTGATGAGGTCTAATATTTGTGAAATGGTGACTTGTTCAAAGTTTGTCAACAAAGTCACCAAAGTAGCGAAGTACCCTGTCCTCATCTCCGGGACATTGGCGCCTAAACTCCTCACGAGCCTTTTGAGGACATACTGTAGATCTTTTTCATTCTATACAAAAAGAAAATAACACGTGAATATTTTAATTGGCATGTAGAGTTTATAAGTAGTTTTCAGCGCCCTGTTGCCTCAAACTTCAACTCAAATAGTCAATAACATGCACATATTAAATAAAAATAACTAAAAACTAACCTCACTGCCGTGCAACCGCGATATTATTTTACTTCCTCCAACAAGTTTAGCATCATCTTTCGCGGATTTTAGAAGGTCAAAGGCATCTAGAACTGAGGCAGTTACTTTGCTTTCCTTCTGAACAGTAGTTGGATCCGATTCTTCAGTCATTTTTATATAACCAATCAGTAGTATAAATTCACAACAAAATAATCACCACATGGGATGATAGACCGCACATTTTACGCGACACACCGAGTGCGCGCGTGACATCTTCTGTCAATATGACAGAGTCTGTAGACTGACAGACTGACACGATGACAGTTTTGTCACAGATAATAGTAAAAAAGATAAAAAAATAAACGATTGTAAGTTTGTGCTTTACTTCATGTTTTTTAGAGACTAAGTTACTTTAAGTTACAAGGCCACAATTTAAGTATTTTAATTTTAAAACTTGATTTCAAGCATTTAAATCGAACTATGTAAGGGTATGTCTATTCACGTGCAGCTCGACAAATACGAGTTTAGAGTAATTGTGGTCGCTAATATCGTACCTGTGGCACTAAGACTCAACATGCACTCAACTAGTTTTGATATTTATTATTTCTGTCGACTATAAAAAGAATAGTTACAGCTTATAGACAGCGTGACAAAAAATAGTTTGACGCAATGACAGCTGAAAATATTATCGACTTGGATTGAATATCATGATTAAACGATCATATGAATATAATACCTTTTCTTTTTAAACCCGAAAAAAAAGTTTTTTATTTCTTTATATGTTTATTACAAATATCATAAATTAGTTGACTCATAGTGTACCAGGCTGCCACAGGTACGATACTAGCGACCTCAATAATTAATTCCAAGTCTTTTTTCCGAACTGTACTATGTTCGAGTGATTGTTTATGTATATATCAGTGTTTAGTCAGCCCAAAATTTATGTATTTTTTGCGTGATTCCCCTTTGTGGAAGCAACCGCACATTCTGGATCAAGTTAACTAAATTATTCGTGACATGTCTATGAACAATCGTGTTTGGCTTTAAGCCACACTACCAATTCGGTTTGGTGGTCTAGTCCTCCGGAAAATTTCCGGTACTAGTTTAACAGCGTTCATCTCCTCTATCTCTATCCTCTATCTAGCACTAGAACATTAATCAAAAAAATCTTAACCGATGTTATCCCTGATCCTAAGGCGCCGAGTCTGACCGAGGCGATGAACGCCTGGATACGATGATGTCATAATTCAGCCATGCCTGTCAACCCATTCATCCTGAGGCAACGGGACGAGCCGCTCTGTAGGTTGGTGCATGATAATCTCATTAATTCCAGCACTAATTCTGTGGAGGTAGCTCGCCTATTAGCTGTAGGTGACCAGGAACCGGGCCTCTGGCTTCAGGCACTTATGTCACTCAACATTGGCACGATATTGAATGACTCTACTTTTCGGCTTGTTGCTTGTTTTCGTCTAGGTGCACTTTGTGTTTCTCCTCATCGCTGTCAATGCAGTGAGATGGTACTGTCAAAACGATTATGCGGGTGATCACCTTGGTCACCACGGCCAATCGTGTTGCAGAAGCGTGGGTCGGACATGCCAGCATCAACGACGTCCTCCGTCGAGCTCTTATCATCGCCGGAGTGGCATCACGCGATGATGGTAAGGGACCTGACAATGTGTCAATTATGCCCAGGAATTTGGGAAGGTCTTTGTTGGAGGACGCAACCTGCGTCTACATCCTATATACAGCACTTTCTCATCTTCCAGTAACAGGGGTTGTTCTGGTTCAGCTGGTAATTTTATTTTAGACCCCTTAAATTTTATTTTAGGCTTTGCGGTGCAAGAGGGTTCAAAAATACACCAAACTGGAGTACAAAATACCTAGTCGACGTATTTCGTGACCAGATGGCTGTTCTGCTCCTCAGTCAGAGCATAACATAGCAATGCTGCGAGCCTTCTGGGTACTTTCCCATCTGCAATCGATGCTGATCAATATTTCGACGCTTTTTGTAAATAGTTTATTTTTTATATTATGTAGTTTTTAAGTTTTATAGTTTTAAACGTATTATATTAGTTACTAGCGGCCCGTCCCGGCTTCGCACGGGGGGACTTAAGATTTTTTACATAGTTTTACGTTTTATTTATATTTATTCTCAGTTTTTTTTAGCGACCTGCCCTCCGTTGTCGATGTCGCGTCTTAAGGTAACCGATTGAACAATTCAAAAGTTATCTAGAGCAAACTTTTATAAGGATTGAACCATTCATTAAAACGATTGTTATGGGTAAACTATAAAAGGTAGAGATATGCTCTCGCGGACTTTTTTAAAAATAATGTTAAGATAAACAATTCATCTATAGAACATTTTTGTATAACTTTAACTATATGCTCAGCGCACGCCACGGAAGGCCTCAGAAACGATACTTTTCCCCCGTTTTTAAAACATTTTTGGTTACTGCTCCACAACTATAGGACCTAGCGTGATATTATATAGCCTATGTTACTTCTGAATAATGCAGCTTTCGAATGGTGAAAAAATTATTGCAATCGGTTCAGTAGTTTTTGAGTTTATTCATTACAAACATACAAAAATACAAAAATACAAAAATACAAATCTTTCCTCTTTATAATATTAGTATAGATGTGGATATCAATAAATTATTTTGTTTATTCATGGGATATTTTATGCATATTTGATTATTATTTCAGTCCAAGTCAATATTAGTTCACCGCCTTAAACTCTTTTAGCAAAGCTATAAATAATTAATCATAGATACATAGATATCTTGCAACTCGCATGCTTGCATCTTTTGTTATTTCTATAGGGAAATTACCCGTTCGTTCTTTTATCATAATAAATTAAGTATTAAGATAAGTTTAGTACATCTGATAAAGAAATGAGATTATAATAATATAAAAAATATTTTATACAGTACACAATATGATTTATATACATCATAATAATTATTACGTTCATTCAGCAAATTAATGAAGATCGCTAGTTTTTTCTAATCCAGCTTTACAGTTAATACTGCACGGGAGTTTAACGTGGATTTGACTCTAACTCTTGATAACTGTTACTTTATCTCTGTCAGCATAATAATTTTTTTTTTTAAATATAAATGTTTCTATCCACATAGAAACATTTTTTTTATTTTATTACAATGTATAGACAAAACAATTTTTTTTCTATTTTTACTTTTGGACAAAAATAAAACAGTGTGTAAAAGTTATTCTCAGTGTTGCTACTCGAAAAAATAATCATAGCTTCGTCGGTCGGTTCCAGAAGTTGATGCGCGCGCCTTTAGTAGTCCATGTTTCTAAACATGGCAGGTCGAAGTGGATACGACGACGTTAATCCCAGGTATTTATTATAAAATTCTACAAAAATATTGTTTAATTTCGTTGCAAAGTGTGTGCTTAAGATTTTTATTACTTATTTTCATAAATTCCGCGGGATCTAACTTTTCCTATCGAAGAAATGTTCATGTTTTTGCTCACCGATAACATTGAATAAAAATGGGATTTTTACTTATGTTTGTCAAGTTATATCTATTTCTACGATGATAACTAGTGCTATGAAGTGTCTTTCATTGTTTATTTCAAGCGCGGAGTGTGTGTTTAACATTTTATAGGTTATAAATTCTCTACGATTGTGGTCCTCGTTTCAGGGATTATGGAGGCGGCAGGAGAACTCTTGGTGGCCGTCCCCTACCCACAGAACCTCCTTACAAAGCTTACGTCGGAAATTTGCCCTCTGGAATTATCCAGGGTGACATTAATAGAATTTTTCCGGTAAGTATTACATCCTTGCTATTGACGTTACTTCCATGTTCAGAGCTTATAAAATACCTTGGTATCAAAGATACCTACGCTCCTGTTGTTGGAGTTAACTCGGAGTTGGTCGTGTTCAATATTACAAGTCAACAAATTGTTTGTTGTTAAAATTAAGTTCATGTCACTCTTTTGGATGGTCTTTTCTATGTATATTTTGCATGCTAACAAACAAAAACATAAGTAGAGTGCCATTGTCTAAAATACCATTTTAATAATGAATTAACAATAAAATTCCTGTTAGGAATTTTCTCTAATGTCTCCAAACATCTTTTTAAACTTTATGCAAAATTCACTGTTTAAAATTGAATATTTTTGTCAAGTAACCTATTACAGCTACAAATTAGTTGATTAAAGATTCTGTTAATAATAAGGAATGTGCTCTTATCTTATATACCTACATTATCAGTTTATGTAATGTTACTATAAAATTACAGAGGCAGTTCACACTACTTAAGTATCTAGTCATACTTATATATTTTAATAAATTTGCATAAAAATTAGAAGTAACTATAATCACTATGTCCAAGTGATGACACATTCTCTGTGGGGTTATTGATAGGACTTATCTATTATGATTAACAATTATTAGATTAATTTTCAGTTAAGGTCGCCATAGTTGTAATATTTCTGAAACAGTAATAACGGTTCTTTAGTCTACTCTGTAAAATCCCACTAAAGAAACTCTGAGAACAAAAGAGTAACAAGTCAGGTAAAATAATGCTGGCTATCACAGAAAACAATAGCAAGAAACCCTTTTTTACAATGCAAAATATGCAAAAAGGTTTGCTTAGCAAAAATACCACAAGCCTGAATGAAGTTAAAATACCATGCTTAAATGTTTAGCGAATTATGAATGATGGTCATTGTTTAATTGTAGTATTAAACGGAATTTGTATTAATATATTCAATATTTTTATTTTGCTGATAATTATTAAACAACTAATGCCTGTAAATGCTAACATCAAAGTAAATATCAGAATTCTGTCTGAGAACTTTTCAATTTTTTGCTAAGCAACAAGCAATTTATATTATTAGGTCAGAATTTTTAGCAGCCATACTCCTGTACACAATGGAGATTGATTCATACATATCAAGGTCAACTTGACACAAAACACTACTAATGCAATCAAAAATATCCAGATTCTTTTTATCTGAACATTGTATGTGAATATATTCATCACTAAAATAACTAATGTTGATAAAACAGAATAGTGTTGGATATTTTTTTTAATTCTTTTTATGCTAACTCTACACTCTATTTCCTTAGATATATAAGCTGGTGTACAATGTTTATTTTTCCAAATAAAATCAACATATAATAATGGTTGGAATTTAAG